CAAACGTTTTCCATTACAAGAAAGTGCAGTTTCTTTCTTAGGGAACATTTTTGGTAATGACGAAATAAGTCAAATTAACCTTCCATACGTTGAACCGATTTCTTGCTATTGCGGTCTATAAACGCTGTATAATCCGAACCGTCCGTAAGCACCACGTGCACTGACTAAATGTGCGCATAGACCAATTTAAAGATCGCAGGTCTATTGACCGCCCCAGCTAGCAAAGAGTTTAGCAAAAAGTAGCAAGGAAATGTTTTACCGATTGAGAGCCAGGAAGTTCCGCAATATACCATATGTATTTATTTATTATTACTTATTTATAGCAAACTATAATTAGTTTAACAGTTTTCGATTTATTTGGAATTTTTTACCCAACATACAGTTGCTGGCACTAGGATAATCAATAATTTTTCCTTTAAACATTTATTAGCTTATTTAATTTCAGTTACATCTCTTGATGAAAAAATTACATTCTTTAATAGAATGTTTGTAACATTTTAATAACTATTTGAAATTATGTTAAAAAAAGAAGGAAATTGACCTAAATCAACATTTTCAAATGAAAAGACATAAGCTTGATAAATATATCTCATTTAGACTATAATAATATACAGGGTGTTCCATTTATAGTTGACCAGTTGCTGCCTACTTCCGGCATACATTCGATAAACTTCATCAGCAAATCAAACCCTGTATCGCAAAAATTAGTCACTCTGTATATGTGTTTTTTTGCAGATTTATGTGGTTTTCATGCGTGACTTTTGGTGCAGTGGCCACTTGCGTTGTGATATTCAGTTTGTGGGACAAATTCCAAACGTACCCAACCATAACCGGCTTGGACACGGATTTCCATAACTGGAAAGTGCCGTTTCCAGCAGTGGCTGTTTGCCCTTTGGAGCCGGCCGGCATGGAAAATATTCGAGAGTTTTTGGGTTTTTCGTAAGTAAAACTAATCGCTCGGGACGTTGCCTGAATTGTATGTTGTATATCCAATGGGAAATTAAACTTATAAAAATTTATGAGCTAGTCAAGATGACGGTGCTACTAGCTTCCGGTCAAGTGGGCAACTTAATAATTAAACTTTCATTAAAAATTGCTTGATAGAGCCAGTGCTCTGACGAATCGGGTGCGCTCAACAGCCTTGCAGTGGTTAAATTAAATTTTACCGTGGAATGTCTGATATGAGGATGGAAAACTATTCGAGGAATGCCTGGCAAACATGTTTAGAGTGCTTATTTCCTTAGGGCCGACGATACGGGTGTTGAAACTAATGAAATTGTCGAGTTTTACTTCGAGATGAGCAAATTATCCTTGAATACAGTGAAGGGATTTGCTGAGAGATACCATAATGGGATTCCGAAGCAGTTTAACCAATCGACTGATCTTCGGGGACTCACTTTGAAGGTAAAAACGCTGTTTAGTGTTCGAATGTTCAGTTTTAGTTTGAGCCAATCGCTTTGAATTGCCTTTCAATGGCTAATGGCTGGAAGGACTGAGCACATTGGATTAAAGTGTTGTTAGGACAACATTTGAACAAAGCCTGTTAACATCACTGTCCTTCTTATCTTCTTAAGCCAGCTTCAGTATATTCTTTTCCCGGCATGGTCTGACCGTTGAAGTGTTTCAGCTTCTTCGTAAATGTGACAAGCTGTTTGAGTCGTGCAAATTTAAGGACGAAGCCATCAACTGCTGCAGTGTAGACTCTCAAAGCTTTCAGCCAGTTTTGACCGAAAATGGACTATGTTATGCGTTCAATTCCAGGCATTTGGAAGCAACCAGTAGCCGGTAAGCAATATTAGATTCAACAGCAAAAATGTATTTTGGACGAAAAATGGGTGGAACAATCACACCATTTTGCTCAGAAATTTACGTTTTTTTCACAGACGCTTTGCATCATATAAAAATGAATTTACGATAAAATATCAGGAATGTCGTAATGCTGACTTTCTAATATAAATTTTAATTTATTAGTCCACAATGACGCTTCTTTGGTAGAACGTTTTGATTTATGAATACATCGAGCATGTGAAAAGTTATCTAAGAATTTTCCTTCTAAAACTTTCAATGAGCGGTTTTTTTTAAATATTGAAAAACGCTGCTTTTTTTAATTATAACTTAAACAAACCAAAAGCAATGGGCAAAATGGAGAAAATTTTTCGAATTCCCGGTGGACAAGTTTTATAAAGCCAGATCGAAAAAGGTGAAACACGTCACTTTAGCTGAAGAAAAGTCTAGAAATTGCAAAAGTTGGCCATCCCCATTTTTTCAGAAACAATTTTTTTTTCTACATAGAATATTGAGGATTTCAAAAGGTATTCGGGAGCAATTTTTCTAAAACAATTCACAAACGTGATTTTTAACCAAATTTTTTCACCGCGAAATACAAAAACAGTCTAAAAATATGGAACTGGAATGGCTACATGAAGCTTATCAAACACTTAATAAACAGTCCAGCTATAATATTACGGAAACGAGCTCAAAAAGATTTCTTGGATCCCCACTGAATTTTGAAGTAAAATTTTCGAAATTTTTTGCCCTCATGCACTCTGTATGCAGTTTAGATGCGAAATTTTCGATTTGCAATCGACAAACGTGTCAAATGTCGCTAACAGAAACACACTTGAAGCGCATCAGGGGCTAATCCGACAAAAACCAGTCGCGCCGCCGATATCCTCCAATAAGAACCTCTCAGGATGAAAATGCTGGGTGGAAACATGCTTTTTATTGCGAGTAGATTTCACACAATGAAATATAACATGATAAAGGCGTCGTTGTGCCATCTCAATTTTCGCTGTATTCCGCCTTTTCTCTTCTAATATTTTCCGGCCATTCATCATAATAAAAATCTACAAGGAATCCTGCTATTATATGCCTGCAGGCGCCTTGCCGCGCCAACTGCTATAGTTTAATAAATTCAGCTCGCAGGTATCGCAAAATGGGAAATTAAAGAATAATGTTGGGAAACTTTGTAATTAGAGCTCGAAACTTCACCTTTGCCGTTTTCCGAACGGTTATTGCACTAAAATAGCTAACGTAAGAAAACGGAAAAGTGCTTCAACTGAAAACGAAACACCTGCTTTTCTCAATTTTACTAGTTTGAAAGAGTATCAACTTTTTTGGAAATGTTGTGTATTCATACAAGGCGATTTCAATTCGATGCCTGAAAGTTTGGTTTCACCTACTAGTCGCTTCCACACTTTTTAATTTCAAAACCCTCAAATCCAAAATGATCTGCTTAGTACACCAGAATTTTCATTAATTCCTGAACTTTAAACCCTGAGGAAAATCTTGCCGGTTTTGACAAATTTGCCTTAAACTGAAACCGAGCTGCGGGCATATTTTGAAAATGTTGCGCGCAACTTTTCTACCTCAACGTGCAATTAAAGTGGAATGTCAACTCCAGCAATGGCGTGTTTAATGAAAAAGTTGTATACTTAATTGCCATTTGTTCCATGTTACAGCTAGAAAGCGAAACTCCCGTCGTGAACAACTGATGTTGAGAGTAAACAGCGCCTTTGTAGAACCGAAGCTTCATACAGCTAATGTTACTTAATTGAAAATAACCTGCACTTTATCCTCTAGCTGTACTGAAACAGCCCTAAAGTGTTGATTGTTTTATTGCATTTTCCAGTAGTTAGTGATCTATAGAAAGAGATCCAGCCCAAGTTCTTCCTGTTTCAGGGACGTGAAATTTAATATGCAATACATTAAGGAAACGGACATTAAATGGTCGCTGGAGTTTTCCGTGAACTCCCAACAACTTTTGGCTCCGGTAAGTTATGCATTCACTCGCAACTTTCTTTGCTGAATTTATTTGTTTATCTTCGCATACGGAAAGTGCATTCTATCGGTCGCAATAAATTAGCATTAAACGAGCAGCAGTTTTAGCAGCTTTTTGGATATTTTCAACAGCTCGACCGCTAAAAAACCGAAATTAATTGAGTCGGGTGAGCAACCGTGAGATTACTTCAGTGGATTCAGCGTCCAGGTGGGAATATATCGTAATTAAAACTACATTTTCTTGGCAACGCTCAGCGGAGCCAATCATATGGGCAAAAAACATGCATTTGCTGGTTAAAAAATTAATTCCTTTGATTAAAAACCATTGAAAAAATGTTTCAAAAGCCGTTCAAAAATCGAATTAATGAAAAATACTGCGAGACATTTTATAAAGCTTAACATTTTGTTGATAGGAAACGTCGTACTCAACGGGTCAACCATATGTGGCAAAAACTGGCCTGTGAAGGCGTTGCTTTAAATAATATTAATAAAATCTTCATAGGTTCCTGAAGAATTGCCTCTGAAGATGTTGGCCATGCAAACTAGCGAGTCGTCCCGACCAAGCGCTTATCAAGCGACGTTATAATAATCAGATAACAATCGATTATTCAAAGCAAAACTGCTAAAGCCTGTAACATTTCAATTCAAAAATATCTTGCGCTTATTATGCGGAGTGAAGTTTTACATTATGCATGCGGAAATTAGAGCTGGTTTTTCTCTAAAACCACTCACATTTCCTTATGGCCGTGGATTATGAGAAAAAGCCTCCCAGATTTGGGCATATTTATAAGAACGCTTTTGTTATCCGAGCCAGAACTACGGTTTCGCAACAGAAAAGGATCAGATTGATTATGACACGATAATCTCTAGCACGGAATACTTGGGACCCTAATCATTATTCTTTTTTATCGTTGGATTTTATCTTTTATAACATTTTTAAGCCCTTCCCGTTGTGCTTGATATAAGCCATCGAGTCAGTCGAGTCTAAGGGCGCCGTAAATCAATACATTATGCAGATAGTCGAAAATGTATTGTTTAATTTAACTTTTTGGGACTTTCCCGACTTACGGGTGTAGAGAAATCGACAAAGAAAGAGCGGAAATTAACATCAGTTTAATTAATTTACGTCCAGCCAGATTAGAAACACCTCTTAATGCCATTGTCATTGTGCCGATTCCATCATGTCTCGATGGGCCCAAATGGTGTTTATATTTATCTTTTCGCCCTGCTTGTGCCTAAAATTAGTTTATCAGGATGCCGCAACGTTATAAATGAACTGGGGAGCTTCGACCGCAAAGAGACACCCACCCACTCGCATCAACTTTCAAGGTTCCGAATTAAAATTATTTTCGGCATTTTGCGACGAAAGTCCAACTAATTAATCGGATAGTGTCGACTATGCCAAACTGATTCTTGATGAACGCTTACTTCGTTGTTTCTTCAAAATTTACAATTAATTCCATATTAATTCGCAAGGTAGATGGGTTTAGAATCCCCATAAATATTAATAGATAGAGGAAGCTAGTCATTCATAAATCCCGATTTGTTTGGGAGCAACATGAATGAAAAATACTGAAAGTGCTAAAAAAACGTACAACGTTGGGACGATTATAGTCAAGAAACAGACACTTGAGCAGATGAAAAATTTTAATATTGAATCCTTGGAAAATGAACCGAATCAGAAGAAGCACTAGGAGCACCCAGGTTTACTAACGCTGTATGAAGCTGATAAGCAGCTGAATACAAGCGATACTCTGAGTTTCGGAAAAGGTATTGGCTGGGGCACCAAAAAATGTATGTGTGAGCAAAAGCATTATTGATCAATAAAATAAAGAGCCTGAGAATGGAGGAGCAAAAGATGACTCAGGAGGTCATTTTGAGGTGCAAGTTTTTCAACAGTTGCCCCATTTTACGCAGAGTTTTTTTAGGACTGATGCAATTTAATATAAAAATGTGTCTTTAGCCATTCCAACATTTCCCCTGCTCATCTTTGAAAAAGTGATAAAGCCTGCTTTATTACGTCCTTTGATCCACTGGATTGTCTACGTGAAGCAGGCACGAAAACTGCCAGTTTACGGAAACTTAAAAGTAACGACTAGACTTCTAAACAAACATCAAAGACGAATAAATCGTCTTGACCTTTTTGACGGGTTAGCGCCCGTTCTTCGCTCTTTTCTCGCTTAGTGCAAACGATCTAATTCATCCCGTTCGTTCCGCTGAATACTTTTATCAGCAGTAAATTAAATATAAGTGACGTTTCAATTAGGGCCCCAACAAGTTTATTTTTAAGGCCGGGATGGTGCCGTTTCCTCTCACGGCGCCAACGGGAGAAAAAAGGGCGCTTTTAAGCGATATGAAGCGGCTAATGAAGAGGCTCGCTTGTGTAAAGTGAAAAGTTTTCCCCGATTTATTGGTCAATTTTGAAGGTCATCTTCGAAGACTTTACACTTGGACATTGTCCTCACAATAAATTGGCACAATTTCAGAAAAAGCAGCATACATCTTAATTCTGTTGTTTTGTGTTGTCCAAAGAAGCGACTAATTTTCCTCATTAACTCGATCAACTTATTGCATACAACACAGATTTTCAACATCTGAAACACAATAAAAAGGAAAAAATAGTCGAGCCCCTCATTCCTTGTCATTGTGCTTCGAGAATCGCTCATAATTGCACAGTTAGCAAACAACAAATGACCCGAAAAATTGCCAGAAAACTGGATCAGGCTCATATCTGGAGACACTCAGTTATTGGCCAATAAAATGGGAAAAACGCGAAGTGGATACCAGCATGAGGTATTTTTTCAGATCTACATAATCAATTCAGATGATTTTATTGGGATCGATGTGCAGCCGCAGCTGGTTTGGGATTGCAAAGTGGATCGAATAGCGTTTTCCTTCAAGCAAACGTACACAACTGAAGACACCAGGCAATTGTCCATCAAGCAGCGCAAGTGCATCTTTGAGGACGAAGTCAAGCTTAAAGGTGTTTAAGGGAAATCGCATCAGACCGAGTAAAAAGTGAGTTTTTCGGCGTTGATTTCAGTTGACTGGATTTACACGTACACAGCATGCACGATCGAGTGCAGAATGGAGACGGCAAAAAGACGTTGTGGATGTGTTCCCTTTTTCTATCCAGAGATTGCTGGGTTTGACTACTGCGACTTGTCATCGTTACACTGCATAGCCGCCCATTTGGCTGAAATCCGCGACATTAGCAAATGCAATTGCCAATTGGGGTGCAAAAACACCGTCTATGAGGTGGAAACGCAAAAAACCAAAGAGTATGTACGAACAGTTTTCCTTTGTTGAAGGCAGTTAATTACGTAACAGAACACTGTTAAAATACTGCGACTGTTTTGCGAAAATCGACCTCATGAACATTTTCGATCAAAAAATTGTGTTTTTGCGCTTATTGGATTGGTGCCGACGTAAGATTCTCATCAATTTATAAGTTTTTGGGTCTGTAATAAGGAAGATAGCATCGGCTAAAAATTGTGACCGCGCAAGAACGACTCAAAATGGACAAAAAATGTCGATTATTTCGGATCTGAAGATTCTAGCATGTTTTTTATTGAGCTCATTGCACTTCTTGCTTACCTCTGATGAAAATTATGTAGGATTCGAGGTATTTTAAAAGACCTGCCTATTTTTTCTCGAAAATCGACCATCACCCCTTATGAAAATTGCGGTTGAAAATTAAAATTTAGTACGCGTGTTTTTTGCGCTCAATGGATTGTTTCCGATGTAAGAAGGTTCTTAATATACACACATAAAGTTTCTGGGTCTTAATAAGGAATCTTAATAAGGAAATGAATGATCTAAAAATTCTAAATCAAAATTAATTCCTGGGTTTCAGTCATTTATTGTCTCTATTTATCAATTAAAATATGTTTCGGTGTATTTTTCCACCATCATCAGTTTTTCTAAACTAACAGATAGTTAAAAAAAAATTTCATTAATTTAAAAAACAATCACAGTTCGTCAACAGCCTCATCATATCACACACTAAAATACATCACAATTGCAATACTTTAAAACATTCTAAAATTAATTAGGCCTAACAGGTGATTAGTCAGGACAATTTATTTCTGATCTCGTTCTTTGCCTCATTATTTAATGAAAAGATTCCATGTTCAATGCTTGTTATGATTTCTGAAATTGGACCATAGTGAGACTTATTTATGGAGAACCTTGGTCCAAGTGATAAGATGTATTTTACGTT